TGGCTCCTGAGTGGGTGCTGCTCACCAGCACACAGCACTGCCCCCTGCTACGCTCCCCTGCACTCCCCTGCATCTCGCCAGCTTCCCAGCTCTCTCCTGTTCTCATCTACTGGGGAGGCCACCTTCCTGCTCTCTCTTTCCTTCTTACCAGCCTGACAGTAGCAAAAACTCATTGCCCTAACCTGGAAGAGTTGAAGATAACATTTTCCCTATGGGATGGAAAGCTGTGACATAGGACTTTCAAGATAGGCTAATTTATTTTGGGGTTCTCCTTGAAAATGCCTGGTTCCACAGATGACTTGGCTCCCACAAAGCTCTAGATGACTCTGGAGTGCCTGATTTTTCAGCGCCCAGGACACTCCTTTATATCTCTTCTGGGATATTTTGTCTTACAAGGAATGGACTGCCCATAACCTACCCCTCTGCATCCACTCACCTTTCTTTGGGGTCACGGGGTAAGCCCACACTGGGAAATGCTCAGAGAAGACATTTGTCCTTTTCATTTCCTTTCAAGATTTTTTTGAACAACCGTGTTAAAAGAGTGTTAAAACACCTCTAACGCTGCTGCTCATTGTTAACAAGCACGTTTGCACATCACATCTATCATGCTATTTGCACGATGTTACATGAAGAAACAGCTCAAAGTATTTTTAAGATATAGCCTTTTATCTCTGGAAGCACCAGAAAGTATTTGCAGATTGGTCTCGGGAATCAAATTAGCCTAGCACATTGGTGAGTTCCTGGAGGTCTGGGCATTTCTGTAAGTGGTTCCTAGCCCCTTAATCCTTTTGATCGTTTGCACTGTGTATTTTTACACAGACTCTTGTACTTTGGAGAAATAAAATAAAGAAACTTAAAGGTGAGTTTGACGAGGGCTTCTCCCCACTGTTTGTCAATGCAGATGGATGTTGAATTTTAATGGTAGTAGTTTCTTTTAAACAACCAAGCTTCTTTAAACCTCTCCACAAATAATGTCAGTGCCCAGATTATGTCTGAAAATGTTTGCGGAAATCTTTCCTGACCCCATATTGTTACCACAAAAGAAGAGCCTAATCCGGGAAAATAGTTTTGACAGCCTGGATGTCAATTACCCCACAGCTGTGATTTCTCATCTGGGCCACTGCCTATGTGACATTTGCTGTCACTTGGTGGCTTCAGGGGTCTATGATCAGGAGCCTGCACATAGAATGAGCTCTTCACTGGTTGACTCTTCACTAGATCCTGCTACTTACTGGCTGTGAAATATTGTGTGAGAAAACCTGTGGAGAGGACTTAGCTGCCTCATCTTTAAAAGGGGGGCTGCACTTCTCTTGTAAAATGGTTGTGAGAAATACTTGTGTGCCCGTGTTTATAGTAGCGTTATTCACAGTAGCCAAAAGGTGGAAGCAACCCAAATGTCCACTGACGGATGAATGGATACACCCAATGTGGTCTGTCCACACACTGGAATATTACTCAGCCTAAAAAGGAAGGGAATTCTGACACACACACTATAATGGGTGAGCCCTGAGAACGTTATGCTGAGTGAAAAACACTGTATGATTTCACTTTTATGAGGTACCCAGAGTGGTCGAATTCACAGAGACGGAAGTAGAATGGTGGTCGCCTGGGGTTGGGGGTAGGAGAGAAATGAGGACTTGGTGTTTGATGGATACAGTTTCAGTTTTGCAAGATGGAAATGTTCTGGAGATGGATGGTGGTGATCTGTACTTAATGCCACCGAACTGTATGCTTAAAAGATGGTTGAGATGGTACATTTTGTTATGTGTGTTTTCCACAATAGAAAAAAGTTGGGAAAAAATTTGCTGTGAGCGTTAAAGAACATCAAGTAAGTAAAGTGGTTGCCATTTTGTCAGACTTCAGTGAATGGTAACAGTTTTCACTAGGGTTAGGACATTGCATTTTAATGGTTACATGATACTTCATCATGTGGCTATCCCATACTTTGTTTCCTTTTTTACTTGGCTTTTGGATTTCTTATAGTACTCCACTATTGTAATAATGATGGAGTGAAATTTTTTTTTTTTTTTTTTTCCGCACGTACATATCTTTTCCATTGTTTGGGGTTGTATCTTCGAGGTAGATTTTCTGGGTCACTTAGTGAAGGCAAGTTAACTTTCATCTTTGTGGCTCTTGGAAAGGGCATGGTTGGTCATGCTGTCACCAGCCAAGTAAGAGTGCCAGTGTTACAGTCTCCTCATTAGCACTAGATACATTTTTAGGTGGTTTTACAAAATGTAGTAAGAGATGGTATGTTCATGTTTCAGTATGCCTTTATTTGCTTTTATCACTAGAAATGTTGGGCACTTTTCAATCTTGATTTACATTTATTTCTTCCTATGTGCACTGCCTGTTTACATCTTTTGCCTAGATTTCTAATGTGGTTTCTATGCTTTTCTTACCAAATACGTTTGTCATGCTTGTTACATATTGTTGCTATTGTAATATTTAGAGAGTTTAATTCTTATGTTGTTAAATCATTCATTCAAACATTTCAAAATACAAAATAATAAGATTTTAAAGTGGGCTCAAAAGTGGTTTTACAATAACATGATTTTTATATTTGGTGTATCTTCCTCCCATAGTTCTCCCATAATTCTTTTCATATCTGTGAGTATAAAATCTGTTTATTTGCTTCCTTCCATGACTGTAATCTTTGAATTAAAATTATATAAAATGACCAGTTCATTTAAAATATGAATAACCCAATATAAAAAGGGTATTACAAAACTTAGAGCAAATAAATTAAAATTAATAAACATGACATTTTTTTTTTACCTTACTAATAACTAAACTCATTGAAAATAAAATGATAGGACACTATTGTCCCGCTATAAATTGGTAAAAGTTAAAAACATTATAATAGTGACTGAGACTGGCCCTGAAACGTGCTGCCAATGGGGAGAGAAAATTGGGTCAACTTTACTGAATAGCAGCCAAGCACTAGATAGAAAGAAACTTAAAAATGTTTGTAAGCATTGATTTAGAAATCCCACTTATGTAACTGTGGCTTGAGGCAGTCTTGGAAATGTGGAAAGATATTTACACTGATAGATAAAAGTAGGATGCAGTGTAAAACCCCAATGACAGGGGGTGATTGAATAATAGTACAACCATCTTTGGAGTGTTATATAGTCATTATAAGTGGCATTTCCTAAAAATTCCAGTGATATGGGAAAATACAACATGCTGGTAAGTGGAAAAAAAGCATGATGCCATGATTACAATAAAGCAAATTGTGCATGGTGTGTGTGTGTGTGTATGAACACACGTGCACTCGTGTGTATCTGGTACATATCCAGAAAGTGATGTGTAAAACATATTGATAGTACTTACCATATGTGGTCAGAATATAATATGTGATTTTTATTTTCTTTTTTATACTTCTGTACATTTTTTAAGGTTCATATTGTTTGCAAATTATTATTTCTACAATCAGAAATTAAATATTAAAAAATGAAAGATAATGAATAGATTTTTTTTTTCTTTTCTGGATTCATGTTCACTTTGCTTTCTTTGCTTTGTTTATTGGACAGACTCCTGGACAAAAAAACCCAGAAGGTTTTTAGGTTATGGTTCAGAAATTCACTAGCTCCATTTGACCTTGGGCAAATGTAACTTCTAAGTATCTCAGTTTTCCAATCAGTAAAATCATTGTGAGAATTAAAGTGAGATCACCACCTATGGGCAAACGCTATTGCAAACTAAGGTGAAGTTCAAGGGATTCCCAAACTACTGTGAGGTCTGATCATTTAGGACTCACAGAACTCACTGAGAACAGTTACCCTCAGAGGTACAGTTTATCACAGGGAGAGGATACAAATCAAAATCAGCCAACCGGAGAGACACATAGGGCAGAGTTTGGAAGGGTTCCAGTGCCAAGTTCCTGTGTTGTCTCCCATGCAGTCAGGATGTGTTACCCTCCTGGCATCCACCTGTGACAACATGCAAAGAGTATTGTCAACTAGGAAGCTCCCCCATGCTTTGATGTTCAGAGTTATTATTGGGGCTTCATTACATAGGCATGATTGATGGGATTGCCCACCTGGTTGAACTCAGTCTTCAGGTCAGCTGATTCTGTATTACCCAAAGCCCCCAGTCTCAGCACATGGTTGGTGTGTCTGGCATAGCCAGCCCTGATCCTAACACTGTTGGGTGTGGCCATCCGGACCCTAAGATTCCAAGGGGCCAGCTTCCACCCTAAGACTGTTGCTGTGGCCGGCCCGCCTTAAAGAAGGACATTCCTATAAGGTGTGACACAGATTACCTTCCAGAGACCAAGGCAGATATCTCTTTGGGCAAAGCTAAATTCTTTACCACACATAAGGTGACCGGAAAGAGATGGAAAACAAATTTAAATAGAGAGATGATATGTATGGAGGGTTCTATTATTTACTATATTCTAACACTGTAAAATAAGGAAGGGCATGAATCCTGTCGGTACAAGGGCTACTACAAACACCCACTTCCCTGATCTACAGAACCTCGGGGACCACCTGTGAGAATGGGCATGCTAACGGAGAGACCATCACTGAGGTCGTTGTTTACCACAGAGATGAATTAGGCTGAGAAAATACTTGCCACCCCGCTGGCTATGTGAACCCGACCCCTTGCCCCCGTGTTAACGGCACAGCGAATATGTCCCTCCGTTAACAAATTGATCTGATGTGGACGAGATATAAGCCTGTTTGTTACAGTTTCCCGCTCCGGCACCATGTCACCCCGTGGTGCAGCTGCGCCTACTGCATATAGCAGGAAGTGATGATACAAATAAATTGGCTCATTCTCCTCACCGAGTTTCAAACCTTGAGCGCTATGTCAGATTAGATCCATAAGGTTTCATAAGGGTGAGATCAAAAAAAAAAAAAAAGAAGAAAGAAAGAAACCCGGGTTTGTTTTCTCGTGAAATTCAAGAAGAAAATTAGAGCACAATGACGAGAAGTCATCATCCTCAGGAAGCTTGCCAGAGGACAACTGTATGCTTTTATGGGGACAGAGCCAGCAACAGACTTGCTATGAGATCGTTAGCTAACGTACAGTTAGACTCCCACCCTTCCTGTGGAGGGAAGGATGTTAGCCCTTGTCTGGTGGTTCTTTGGAAACAGATCACTTGTAGTAAATTGCTGGTGTCAGTAAATTTTTGTTGTACGTTCTGTTTCTTTCAAGGAAAAACTGGCCACGCAGAAGTAGTCCGAGTGGTGTACCAGCCAGAACGCATCAGCTTTGAGGAACTGCTCAAGGTCTTCTGGGAGAATCATGACCCGACCCAAGGTAGATGAGTGAGCCAGTATTTAATTATCTTACTAATTACAGCTGGGATAATTAGTGTTTGAGCTGCATGGAAGAGATGAACCTTGAAATCACACAGGAGCTCAAGAATATGATTGCAGACGTTTATTGACGGAGGAGAGGAGGGGCTGGGGAGCAAGCGGGGGAGAGAATAAAGGCACAGCCACAGTCTGCGCTCCTCCCCCCTTTACAGCTGTCAGGGGTGGGAAAATTCCCACAGAGAAAGACGCCAGACAATAGAGATTCGTTCACCTTTGATTATTGCATTATTCCTCCTTAATGCAGTCTTTTGTCTACAAAATTAAAGTGTCTTTCTAGCAGCTCCAAAGTTTTCTTGATTTATGGTTCCTTTATTTCCCTGAATTTAGTCTTTCTCATCTTTTGACGTTATCAGGCTTTTTTTTTTTGTTTTTTTTTTAATGTCTCCGGGTGATTAAAAAAGAAAAAAAGAAGAACGTAAAGGTAAAATGCAGTATTCAGTGGGTCCACAATGCTTGGGTTATTTAAATATTTCATTTGTCTTCTTTAGAATTTGTTATATGGCGATATTAATATATTTGGGCTATAAACAATGGTGGCCGGAAATTTTATCTGAAGGCACACGCAAGCGACATTCCCTGTTGACAAATATCATTTGTAATAGTCAATAATGAAGCAATTTCCAGATTTCATCCTAACAGCCCTACAAGCACTGCCTTGCCAATATGATGATCTGATATTATGAGGCTTATGAACTGAGAAGTCCTATATAATAGATGTGATTTTCACAAACCCTGTTCATTTAGCAATCAGTCTGTTTAACAAAAATATTTTCCCTTTGGTGTCAGGTTTTTGTGTAGCAGGTATGCTGTGTTGGCTGTTTCTGAAGAAGGGATGTGTTTTTCCAAATGTGCATTGTGCTTTGTGGTGGAATTTTAATTTGACCGACCCCGGCAGCGCAGGGGGGTGGGTCTTAAGTTCTGGTTCTAAGTACCACCCAGTGCCTGGGTGATTTGCTAGAGGGCAAAGGTCAGAGCTAAGGCAAGAGTAGCAAAATGATAAATGAGCCAGGGTAATGCAGGTACAGGATCCAGGCAAATCCATCAGGGTGGGTGAAGGCTTAGGAAGGAGGCCAGGAGCCGGCTTTCCTGTTTTGATATGGGGGGATGAGTTTCTAGCAGGAGAGTGATGAGGTATGGGGCAGGGGAGGTAGAGGACTGGTAGGGTAAGAATACTATAATCAGAAGGTTCAGATTCACCCTGGTTTGGACTTCTGGACCTGGCCTATCATATGTGAAAGGCGGGCCTAACAAACTTAGGGTTGGCTCAGCAGGAAGCTCTGACAGTGAGCATCATAAATAAGAGTGATGATGGCTAAGAGCTCATGCTGGTGAGCCTTTAGATCCAGGTGGATAGGCATTTGGGTCTCAAAGCCTAAGGTCAGGGCGGGATGCTTAGAGCTTCAAAGTTCTCAGTGGGGACACACATTAGGAGCCCAAGGCAGCCTGAAGTCATGTAGGAATCCGGCTCCTCACAGGCCCACAAGGTTGGGTATGTGGCCTTTAGCTTGGCCAACCATAGTGTCATATCCTGATATAATCACCCTATGCCTAGCCCTGGCAAAATTTCAAAAAGGGTGAAGTCTGTCATGCACTTCTCTCTCCTTCCTTCTCTTAACTTCTTCCCTATTTTATCACATCTTTACCAGCACACCTCAGTTAACAATGTCATTAGTACTGGACCCTGAGTCTTAGGGGGAGTTCTACTTTTTAAAAGAACCTTAAAAAAACCTCTTTTCTCCCCCATCCCATGTATCAAATTTGTCTCCACTGTGCCTCAGTCCTCTTTGAAATTCTTGGTTTATTGTGTGTATTATTTGCTAATAACAAAGTACTACAGATTGGGCAGCTTAAACAACGAAAGTTATTTTCTCACAGTTCAGGAGGCTAGAAGTCCGAGGTGAAGGCCTTGGCATGGTTGGATTTTTCTGAGGCTCTCCTTGGCTTGTACATGTCCGCGTTCTCCCTGGGTCCTCACATGGTCTTTCCTCTATGTGTACCTTTGTCCTAATCTCCTCTTCCTATAAAAACACCAGCCATATTGGATTAGAGCCCACCCAAATGACCTGATTTAATTTTAATCTTTAAAGACTCTATCTCCAAATAAGATTATATTCTGAGGTACTAAAGATTAGAGCTTCAACATATGAATTTGGGGAAGATACAGTTTAGCCCATAACACTGCCCAGTAAAGTAATAGCGTGGTATACTATTCTTCCAGAGGTATTTTGATTCTAACAAAGAGTTCATAGACTCAGAGACTAGAAGAGACTTTAGAGATCATCTGGTTAATCTTCAGCTTCAATTCTATAAGCCAAAAGATGAAATTGCTACTGATGGGGTTCACGGACAATAGGATTTGATTGTTGAGTGACATATTTTTTACACTGATATTTTAGACAGATTTTGCATGTAGGGGGAGAGTTTTTCAACCCTTGCATATGCCTGTTTCTACTTAGAATAGTGCTTGATGCAGTATACACATTCACAGATATTAAATCACAGGATAGCTGATCTTCCCACATTATTACCAAGATTATTTTGTTGGAGAGTTTAGTCTAATGGGCCATGGAAAAATATTTTTCTGCATTCCAGAGTTTCCCACGACACTTCTGGAAATAGGGTGAAATGAGTAATCACATGACCCACGCCTGGCCAATCACATTATCTCTTCCTGTTGGCAACAGTGTTTGATTCAAGGAATGGGCATGTGACCCAAGCAGGACCATTTGGAGTCCTTCCCTGGGACTGCCATGGGAGAGAAAAAGGTGTTCTCCCTTTTCTGGGGCTGCCAAGGTGGAGGTGCTCTGTGTGTGGAAAGAGCTTGTCCACAGGAGAAGCAAGGGAGGAAGATGAGCAGAGACACTGAGAAACAAGAAATGGGAAGAAAGAATCTTCAGAAGACTGAGGTCCTCTCAGTTATGAGAACTCCTAGGTACCTACCCTTCTCCTTCATCTTTTTTAACTTAAGCTAGTTTGTTGGGTTTCTATTACTTGCAACAACAATAAAAATCCTTGCTAACCCACTCATTCAACTGAATCATTATGCTTATTAAATCACACATATTATTACACATATTATTATATGTGTTTATTAGTTAACCATGTTCATTTGGCTCTACAAATCAGAGGTCTAAAGCTATTTGGTTAATAATTTTATCCCTGACTCAGACATGGAGTGGAGGACACTAAAGATTGTTTCCTCAAGACCTGTTGGTGGTTTGAGTAGGGGGTTCCTTGGTAATTCAGAATTCAGAATTGGGGCTTGAGATTTGGGATATATGGCCTGAATACATATCAGATCATCTCAATATTTCTAAACTACTATGAAAGACAGTCATTAATGACACTGATCTTGTGTCTCCTCTGCTTGCCAGACACTGTGTTAGGTGGTGCTGAATCACCAAGTTGTCTGTAAAAAGCAGCAGTATCCAGCCTCCTAATGCACAGAGAAAGTATATTTCTATAGGGAGAAAAATAGTTTAATCCAAATGTACTGAGATCAAATGAGCATTCAGATAAATGTGTTTAAGACATTTACTAACTAACCTGAAATCATTAAAACAAGTATATGTTAACACTGGAACTTCAGAAGCAAAAAACATAAATTCAGAAGAACTCCAGGGCCAATGAATTTAATATTCCCAGGGAACCCTGAAGGTCCAAAACATGTAGTCACATGTAAATTTTCTGAGGTAAGAATTTGAAGCCCACTCCCTGAAGGATGGGCATGAAGCTGGAGGTAGCTGGGATGCAGTTGAACTTGGCCATCGGAACACAGCTTCTAAATTCTCTACTTGAAGTCACATGGTGACTCTTGTCACTTTTCTTAGTGTTCAGTGGCCCAGAAAAGAGAACCACCCATTAGAACAGGTGAAGGAAGTAGAGGCGTGTAAGACTGACTGGTCTTACTCAGAGAGTGGACATTTCAGAAGACAACAGCACATTGGATTTGATGGAGACTCTCATCTGTGAAGCAATAGCCCACTCTAGATTGTTGTCAGAAGTGAAGAGTGATTCTTTTTTTTTTTTTTTAAAGATTTTTTATTTATTTGACAGAGAGAGACACAGTAAGAGAGGGAACACAAGCGGGGGGAGGGTGGGAGAGGGAGAAGCAGGCTTCCCGCGGAGCTGGGAGCCCGATGCAGGGCTCGATCCCAGGACCCTGGGATCGTGACCTGAGCCGAAGGCAGACGCTTAACGACTGAGCCACTCAGGTGCCCCGTGAAGAGTGATTCTTAAAACTGCGTAAGGGATACTCTTGCCTATGCCAGAGTTGCTGATAAACAAAAAGACAAAACTTGAATAAGTTTGAGAAGTCATTGACCTTTGATGTGAAGATTTGCCCGGAAACACATGATTCTCAACAGAAATATGGCTCAAGAACAATATATATATATTTTTTTAAGATTTTATTTATTTGCGAGAGAGAGAATGAGAGACAGAGAGCATGAGAGGGAGGAGGGTCAGAGGGAGAAGCAGACTCCCTGCTGAGCAGGGAGCCTGATGTGGGACTCGATCCCGAGACTCCAGAATCACGACCTGAGCCGAAGGCAGTCGCTTAACCAACTGAGCCACCCAGGTGCCCAAGAACAATGTATTTTAATTAGAATGTTGAAAGACTTTACTACTTTGTTTATAGAGTCATTAAACATTTGAAGGGGTCACTTAATTTTTTAGTTATGATTTACTTTGGTGCAAGAAGCAATATCTTAGAATGATATTTGCAAATGTGGGGACTCTTGCTAATGTTGAGGATTTACTGTGGAAGAAACAGCAAGAATTTCACCTTAAAGTCCCATTTCAGTTGAATTAGATCTTCATGGCATAGACTAGGCAGAGAAGATCCTGCATGCCCTTGACTGCCGCAAGGTACTGTAGCAGCTCTCATGGTATCTGCCCTATTGGCAAGGCAAAAATTCCCCTGATCTGCCATTTGGAAGG